AATCTCAGAAAGTTTTTTTTTTCCTCAGAGATTAGCTCCTCCTTTTTTCATCTGCAAAGTGGCCCTAATTTGATGTCGTAGTTGTAGTATTTAYTGTAGTATCGCTCAAAGACTATTAATTTGAAATAATGGTAATAAGAGTTCTCAGTGTTTTTCTTCAAGGAAAATTTTTGTGAATAAAATTTAATATTTTGAAAAGTATAACAATTACAAGTTTTAACACTCCTCTTCTAAATGAGCTGAACGTTTCGATGTCTGCAAAGATTTTAAGAAACTACAGTTAAAAAAAGAGGAGGTTTCAAAACCCTTTATTGTGAAATCTCGCGAACCGGAAGTTGACAGTTAGCATCTCACAGTTTACCTCCTCGGAGTGTCTGTGAGTGTYCAGGTGTAAAAATGTTACCTTTATCTATTAAAGACGACGAGTACAAACCGGCCAAGTTCAACCTGCTGGTCAAACTGTCCGGATGGTTCAGGTAAACACACCTGAGCACCGCGCGTACCGGAGCGGCTGTTAGCACCATGCTAACCGGTTAGCATGAACAGACGGACCGCTCCCGGAGCTCCGGCTCCATCAAACCGGGTTTTGTGGGGATGTCAGGCGGTTCTGTGGGTGTTTGAGGGCTCGGTTCGTGTGTTTGAGTGGAACTGTTCGGTTCTGAGGTTCTGCTGCTGTTTCAGTTTCTCTCGTTTTGTGTTTCAGGTCCATATTAGCTGATAAAACCTCGAGGAATCTCTTCTTCTTCCTCTGTCTCAACCTTTCCTTCGCCTTCGTGGAGCTAACCTATGGAATCTGGAGTAACAGGTAGGTTATCAGGTGTGCGCGCGTGGGTTCAGCTCGGGGATGTGCCACGTATGTGTTAGCATTAGCTGTGCGCGTCTCCGTCATCTGTAACTGAACTTCCGGTCAGTCCCGAGACGCTCAGAAACTAACAGATATTATAAACATTTGACTTTTTCAAGGTTTCATTCAAAGAGTCRAACACATTTAGAGGAAAGTTTTATAAATTAATCTGCTCAGATTTGA